AAATTATAAAGCATTAATTATTTTTCTATTCAAGATGCACTCCTTTTAAATCAATACAAATCTGTAAACGTTTTTTAAAAAGAATTTCAAAACAGTAATAGTACGATTCTTCTGAAATCTCTTTTAAATTCGCGGTCAAAGTTCGTTGCATTTCGAAAATAGTATCGTAACGCTTTTTTTCTATAACATATTTGAGTATTGGGAACAACCACATATCAAATGGAGTCAAATCAGGCGAATGCGGGGGGGATTCGAGTCCTGTGATGCCTTTTTTAACCAAAAAATCGCGTACAGTTCTAGATTTGTGTATCAGTGTATTATCGTGCAGAAGACACCAAGAACCTGACTGTTCGTATTGAGACCGATCTCGAGAGATACTGTCCCACAAACGATCCAGAATACCTAAATAATAAACAGCGTCCATTGTTTGACCTTCCGGTATAAATTCATTGTAAACCATTCCTCTTGAATCAAAGAAAACGATGAGCAATGTCTTGCTCTTCTGCAAGAACATTCTTTTTGGCTTTGTCTTTTCTTTGCTTTGACATTCCGACGTGGAAGCGGTCTGCTGCTCTGGGAGTGGCTCATCATATTCAGAAATCCATATTCTGCCACAAGTTACGATATTTTTCATGAAATTTGAATCACTTGCGGCCGCTCTTATCATGTCTCTGCAATGCTCCATTCTGGCGTCTTTTTGATCCTCCGTCAGCGTGTTCGGTACGAAGCGTTCACAAACCCTCCGTTTGCCCAAGCGTTTTAGAATTTTGGCTACAGTTTTTTCATGTAAGCCAGTTAGCCCCGCGATGACATTTGTGGACACATAGGAGTCCGATTGAAGAATTTCAAGTACTTTTTTCACGTTTTCGGAGGTATGACTTGTTCTTGGTTTTCTTCTAGCGTTTGAGATATCTTCTCTACCTTGTTCAAATTGCAAATACCAATCATGAGCAGTAGAATAATGCATACAATTCCTACCGTACACTTTCCGTAGCATGTTGTGCGTGTCGTAAAATGTTATGCCTTGTTTGTAACAAAATTTAATATTGGCTCTTTGTTCTATTTTATTATCCATAGTATTTGTTCAACGAATGTCAATGAGGTACTGTCAACTTATCAAGAGACGACGCTGCAAGGAAAAATTTTAAAAAATTAGTCACATTACAGACTAGACAGACTGTGTATATGGTTTATGTTATGTTTATACGAACCTTTTCCACGTAGGCAAAAAGCTGTATTGCTTAGTTCACAGCAATATACACACAATATGCATATATATATTTAATTTCTTTCTCATGTGTATAAATCAAAATATTTAAAACTATTGTTAATTTTTCCTTATATCCTCAAAATTGTGTTCAAGGTGATAATAGTACTGAAAAAAAAATTGCAAGCAAAATATAAATTTTCGATACTTCTGTCAAGATATGCATTTTTGATAGTCTTCTCCATAGATTATTTATTATTAGAAACCGGTGCCATTCCTTCCACTTCAAGGGAGTGCTAGCGACCGAGCGCCGTGAGAATAATTACATAAATAAATGAATATATATATTTGCTACGTTACACCGCTAGACTGGCGCGGCGCGGTGTAGAGGGTACTCCTTCTCACGACTGCTAGCACGCGCTTGGAATAGGGAAAACGGCACCGCGATCCGGTCTCAATTTATTAATTTACATAGACATGTTGAATATACAGTAAAAAAAAACTTTACGTTCGATAAAATCAAAGCTAAAGTGAAAATCAAACCGTCAACTTTCGAGCAAAACAAAGGATGCTACCTAGTTTAAACCAATAAAAACGATTTTATTATAATAATCTAATATATAAATACAAATAGTTTTTTGTTTCGACTTACTTAGTTTTTTCAGAAAGCAAAAGAACTTATATGTCACAAAATAAATAAAATTGAGAAGATGTTGAACAATAATAAAATAATTTGATATTCACTAGTTATTTTATAATAAT